TCTCTCACATCGATGTTTCTCTCTGTCTCTCCCTCTCTTTTCCACTCTCTCTGAAAGTCTATGGAAAAATATTCTCAGGGGAAGATTAACAACAACAACAAAATTTCTTAGACAATGTTTTCTATTTGCTATTGAGTTACATGAGTTCTGTATGGTTTTTTTTGTATATTAACCCCTTATTACATATATAGTTTGCAAATATTTTTCCAGTTCTGTAGATTGCCTTTGCCTTTTGTTGATTGTGTCTTTTGCTGTTCATAAAAGTTTTTAGTTTTATGTGTCCCACTTGTTTATTTTTGCTTTTACGGCTTGAAGTTTTGGGATCAAACCAATAATTCTTTGCTGTCCTAGCATCCTAGGATGTTCAGCAACGCCCCGGCATCCACCTGCGAGATGGGAGCTTTACCCCCTCCCCCAGCTGGGGCAACCCAAAATGTCCCCTGGGGGCAGGGGCAGGAGCCTCCCTGTCTGAGAAGCACCGCTTTTAGGAAGTACTGCATCCATAAATCTTAGACCAGAGATTCTCAACCTGTGGGTCGTGACCCCTTTGGGGGTCGAACGACCCTTTCACAGGGGTCGCCTAAGACCATCGGAAAACACATATATAATTACATATTGTTTTTGTGATTAATCACTATGCTTTAATTATGTTCAATTTGTAACAATGAAAATACATCCTGCATATCAGATATTTACATTACGATTCATAACAGTAGCAAAATTACAGTTATGAAGTAGCAACGAAAATAATTTTATGGTTGGGGGTCACCACAACATGAGGAACTATATTAAAGGGTCAGGGCACTAGGAAGGTTGAGAACCACTGCTCTAGATAAACTTGCTGTAAACCTGGAGCTCTCAGGAGCGTTTAGACTGGAGGACGGGAAGATTCTGAAAGAATGTGCTCTGTGTTTTATAAGTAATATTTTAGGGTGAAAGCCAGCTTGATCCAGAGACTGGAGCTTCCAAGGGAGGTTTGGTTACAAGGGTTCAGGAGGCAGTTTTTTTAAATATATGTATGTTTTTTATTGATTTCAGATAGGAAGGGAGAGGGAGAGAGAGAGCGAGAAATATCAGTGATGCAAGAGAATCATGGATCGGCTGCCTCCTGCACGCCCCCCACTGGGGATCGAGCCTGCAACCCAGGCATGTGCCCTGACCGGGAATTGAACTGTGACCTCCTGGTTCATAGGTTGAAGCTCAACCATTGAGCCACGCTGTCTGGTATATTTAAAGGCTTTTAAACTTATGTGTGTGATGGGTCTGGCACAGCGTAGGTACTTAGTGAAAAGGGAAAACTTTGCTGTGGAAGGGGAACCTTTCCAGAATTCACTTCCTTTGTTGTTTGTTTCAGCTTCTTTGACTTTATCTCCCAAAACTGGCTACTTAGTGAGACGTACATTTATTAACTAGTTTAAAAAACAGTTGCTGCCCAGCCGACGTGGCTCAGTGGCTGAGTGTTGACCTGTGAACCAGAAGATCACGGTTTGATTCCCTGTCAGGGCACATGCCCAGGTTGTGGGCTCAATCCCCAGTGGAAGGGCGTGCAGGAGGCAGCCAATCAGTAATTCTCTCTCATCATGGATGTTTCTCTCTCTCTCCCCCTTCCTCTCTGAAATCAATAATAAAAATATATTTAAAAACAAAAAACAGTTGCTAAAAAATGTGTCTTATAAACATAGTGTAAATGTGCAGATGTTTACAACAGTACTCTGTACAAAAGAGCAGTTTTGCATAGATGAAAAAAATTAATAGTATGATAACTTCAGAGGAGATTGTGTGACCATTTAAAGATGGTTTTGAGAAGTTTAAAAAAAAACAGTTGCTAAGAAACATGTCTTATAAACACATCAGTGTAAATATGCAGACGTTTACAACAGTACTCTGTACAAAAGAGCAGTTTTGCATAGATGAAAAAATTAATAAATATAACTTCAGAGGAGATTGTGTGATCATTTTAAGATGGTTTTGAGAAGTACGTATGACAATATAATGTCAAGTGCCGGTAAGAAAGGCTACAAAATACGTTCAGTGTAAGTCCGCCTCTATGAATCTGTATTACAGAAGAAAAAAGCGGGAAAAAAATTAAGAGTGGGTCTCTCTGGAGAGGCTACAGGGTTTTTTCCCCTGTAATTTCCAAATATGCAACTCACAAAGAACGTGTGCTCCTGTGTAAGCAGAAAACAAAATAATGACCGCTGACAGTGGAATTGGAAACGCTGGTGTCAACAGCTCAGGCCCCCAGTGAACGCGTGCCGAGTCTCTCCCGTGGGTCTCCTGAGTTCAGTGGATTTTCTGGGGCTGCTCGTGTTGGGAGCAGCAATGACGGCCCTGGACTGTGATGGGGACATGAGGGGCGATTTGAGACTGGCGGGGCCTGGACTCCACTCCGAACTTGCAGTTCAGTGACCTTGAACAGATGTCCCACCTGTCCTCCCAGCTATGCATGGCTCTGGCTTTATAAAATTTCCTACTTTTTTGTAAAAAGCATACTTGCCTCTTATTACAAAGTTAGCCAGGTAAAAGGGATGACCTAATCTCGCCACCCTGAAATAACCGTAGTGATTTTGATGTGCCTTTCTCTAGATGTTTTTCCTATATATTTATGGGTGTATTTTTTGTTGTTGTTGTTGTTGTTCGTTGTTTTTTAATGTATTTTATTGATATTTTACAGAGAGGAAGGGAGAGGGATAGAGAGTTAGAAACATCGATGAGAGAGAAACATCGATCAGCTGCCTCCTGCACACCTCCCACTGAGGATGCGCCCGCAACCAAGGCATATGCCCTTGACTGGAATTGAACCTGGGACCCTTCAGTCCACAGGCCAACGCTCTGTCCACTGAGCCAAACCGGTTAGGGCTATGGGTGTATGTTTTTATGATCATAGGATCATACCATATATATTTGCTTTGGATATATAATGGTTTGTATCCAGATATTTTCTTGCCACTTCCTGCCAGATCATGAAGTATTTGGCACGCTTTGTGCCATATGACTGTGTAGTTTTGTGGGCATATTGATAAGCTGCTCTGTGATGACTGATGAGCTCTGTGTCCTGTGCTACGCAGGATCAGGACTTCAGATCGCAAAAACACTTCGTCATCAACATGACTTGCCGGTTTTGCTGGCAGCTCCCGGAAACCGACTACGAGTGCTCCAACTCCACCAGCTGCATGACGGTGTCCTGTCCTCGGCAGCGCTACACCGCCAACTGCACGGTGCGGGACCACGTGCATTGCCTGGGTGAGCCGGGTCCGCGGGCCTGGGGAGCAGGATGCTTTTCTCTAAGCTGCGTGTGGAACTTTAGTCAGACATTGGAGAATCCAGGTTAAATTATTTCACCAGGAGCATTTATCAGCACTTTGGAGTTAGGCCAAGCTTCATTAATACGAAAATGAACTATAAAAATCCAGAACATTTGCAATGCTCTTATCTTTTAAAATGGAGCAATAAAACAAGACAAAATCCATAAGGTATGAAGTCTAATGCTGTCACTGAATAGTTTATTAATTTTGAGAGAGAGAGAAACATTGATGTGAGACCATAACATTGATCTGCCACCTCCTGCACGCTTCCTACTGGGCATGTGCCCTGACCGGGAATTGGATCGTGACCTCCTGGTTCATAGGTTGACGCTCAACCACTGAGCCATGCTGGCCGGGCCTGATCTAACATTTAAATTTTAAATCTGCGCTTAGGGATGATCAGGTCTGTCTTCTTACCATTCACCGTAGTGGGCGTTATTGTAAGGAGGCTGAGTTTTTAGATTTTTAGTTACAAGGCCACTAGTTCAGTTAAGTCTCTGTGTAAGGGTATGTTTAGACCCATGTGTCTAAATGGAGAGCTTTCTTTTTCCTTAAAGGTAACCGGACGTTTCCCAAGATGCTGTATTGCAACTGGACCGGCGGCTACAAGTGGTCCACGGCCCTGGCTCTGAGGTGAGCTGTGTCACCAGTAAGCTAGAGGGCCGTTGGGAATTTGTTGGGGTCCGTGGAATCTTCCAGACACTGAGCTCCAACCAGCTCCTCCTTCAGACCCGAGGAAACAGCTGTGGAAAATGCTTAAGGGGTCAGAACCGGCCCTTTATGGAGTGGAATGTTACCTCTCTCCCAGGAAGCCCGCACATGACTTAGATCTTAGCACGGGAAGGAATCTTGAGTCATTTGTTCCTAACACTAAATTTTTAAAAAATATATATTGTTAGTGATTTCAGAGAGGAAGGGAGGAGAGGGAGAGAGAAACATCAATGATGAGGGATAGGAACATCATGGATCGGCTGCTTCCTGCACACCCCCTACTAGAGATTGAGCCCACAGCCCAGGCATGTGCCCTGACCAGAGATTGAACTTCGACCTCTTGGTTCACAGGTCGACGCTCAACCTGTGGGCCACGCCGCTGGGCCCTAACACTGAATGTTTAGAGATGAGTGACAAACAGCTGGACCCGGGGCAGCAGGGGCGGTGGGCTGTTTGCCTTCCAGTGCCAACTCCTGACTCGTGCTCGCACTTTGTTCTAGGGATGTGCCATTTTCCAGAATAAAATGCAAGGAGGGCATTACTTTTCTTTAAAGAGAAACCCTAGGTTTCAGTCCAGCTAAAGGTCGTATGTTTACTGTGGGCATTTTAACAGTCTGTGGCCCGTGATTACAGCTGGCCTTTGAACGACACAGGGTAGGGGTGTCAGCCCCCGCACGGTCAAAACTCCGAGTCTAACTGAAAGCCAGCCCCTCACGTACGCTGATCCCACCCCGGATCGGAGATGGAAAATACTTGGTGATGCAAAGTGTGTACTAGTCCTTGTGATCCCCCAGAGGGTTGGGGTCATGAGGTCCTTCCCAGGTGTGACCTCGCGGGGTCATGGCGCGAACCCGGCCGGGCGGTGGGGGGACATCTGGTGGACCCGGTCCTGTTTGGTGTTCCAGCATCACCCTCGGCGGCTTCGGCGCGGACCGGTTCTACCTGGGCCAGTGGAGGGAAGGCCTCGGCAAGCTCTTCAGCTTCGGCGGCCTGGGGATATGGACGCTGATCGACGTGCTGCTGATCGGCGTCGGCTACGTGGGGCCGGCAGACGGCTCTCTGTACATTTAGCGGCGATCCGTGCTTCAGGGGAGCGGCGCCTGGAAGGCCTCGGCCCGGAGGAAGTGATGTCGCGAGTGCGTATTAGTATGTGTTTAATGTACAGCATCTGTACTTGGCCTGCCTTGATGAAGGTAAAATTACAAAAGAAAAAAACACTGAACCATGCTTCTCCGGAATTTGGTTTCATTTGCCTGAGATGTATTTTTTTTCTGTGAAAAAACTGGGACTGGATTAACCTGGAGGAACGAACTCTGCAGTGACTGGAAATCGATTTCGTTCCCGTGACTTCCATTTTCTGTTGCTTAAGTCGAAGTGCATCGCTCGGATCTCGGCCTGGACGGGATGGGCCTGCAGGAGCCTTTCAGCTGTGACGCGGGAAGTGGGCGGTTTATTCTTTAGCCCAATAACGGACCACCCGCACTTCAGTGCTCCGTGAGTTTTGCGATGTCGTGTGTACGTCTGGTCTTCGTCTGACTGTTTAACGTGAACTAGAGCTTTCATGTCTGGTGGCTGTGGTTTGAACTTGATTAGTAATGTAAAAGGTGGTGAGAGGACTGAAGAATTAATAAAGTTATAACTGGCTCTAAGAAACATTGGAGACTGTTTTCTGTATTAATAGATCATCTTGAGTAATCGTAGCAGCTGTTACCATTAAGAGGTATTATGTGCCCTAGCCAGTGTGGCCTGGGGACTGAAGGGTCCTGGTTTCCATTCCGGTCAAGGGCACGTACCTCAGTTGCAGGCTCGATCCCCAGCCCTGGTTGGGGTGCATGCAGGAGGCAACCAATTGATATGTCCTCTCACATGGATGTTTCTGTCTCTCCCCCTTCCTTTCCACTCTCTCTCAAAATCAATGGAAAAATATCCTCAGGTGAGGATTAACTAAAAGAGGTGAATGTGTCTTTTTCAGGGCATCGCTCCATTCCAACAGTTGACCCTTGCACAGCACGGGGTGAGGGCGCCAATCCAGAGCGGTCGAATGTCCGCGTGTGAGTTAAGTCAGCCCTGTAGATACGGGGGGTTCCCAACTGTGGATGGAAAATACAGTTGACCCTCGAGCAACACGAGTGTGAGCTGCTTGGGTCCATTAACGTCTGCATAGCGGGGACTGCACAGTCCGGGCCCTGGTTCACTGTATTCACAGCTGGCTGGGTCGTTGGCGTACCGTGGAGTGTTCAGTGTGTTTTAGCACCACGAGTGTTTTTGAGTCCACAGATCCTTTATTGGAAAGAAAAGCAATTAAAAAAATTTTTTTTCTATTGATTTCCAGAGAGAGGAAAGGAGAGGGAGAGGAATTTCGATGTGAGAGCAAAACTTCAATCGGCTGCCTCCTGCACGCCCCCCACTGGGGATGGAGCCACAACCCGACCAGGAGTCGAACCGGCGTCCTTTCAGTGCACGGGGCGACGCCCCACCGGCTGAGCTACACCGGCCCAGGCTGGAAAAGCAGTTACTAACCCAATGTGGGCTTACAAAGGTCTCTTACCAAACGCTCCGACTCGGCGTTTTCCTTTCAAATTGGGCATCTGAACAGGCAGAGGGTTAACCAGCCCGTCAGGTTGGGAAGCTGTGAAGTAGTTTTGGAGAATATCTCCAAAAAGCTCGTGGGATTTTCTTCACCAGCTTACTCATCGCCGTTTACCTGAAAGGGGACTGGTTCCCTCTGGGGATACCTTGCCGGTGAAGATCCGCTCAGGTGTGTCTTGGTGTCACCGAGCCGCAGTTCCAGCTCCGGCCACTATGTGGCGCGGCCCCATTACATTTGCGCTCTCAGATCAGCCCCACAACACAGACCTGAGTCCTGACTCCCAGCTCCCTGGGGCTCTGAGATGGGGGTGTCCCTGTCCCCCTGGACCCCGACTCCAGCCCGCTCTCCCCTCCTACAGGCTCTGACTTCATCGGGTGACGGTGCAATCGATGATGTGTCAGCTCAGACAGAGCATTTCAGTGGCTGATGATGCTGTTAACTGGGGCCATTTTGCTGTCATTGATCCCCAGGCGCCTGTGTAAACGGCTCTGGCCCCCTGTGGGTGTGAGGCTGGAAGGGGCCGTGACCTGAGCTGGTTTCTTAGGGACGTGATGCTCACACTCACCGCCGAAGCCCTCCGACCGCGGCCCGTGGGGCAGCCCATCCACAGGCAGGGAAGCCACGAGGCACCAGAGGAGCGGGGAGCGGGGTGTGGGAGGCTGTGGGTAAGGATGAAGTTGTCCCCGATAGAGGGCCCATTTGTAAGTGTGAGTGATGGCTGTTACCTGGAAAATTAGATTCCGGCGCCTCCCGCCAGGGCTGAATTAACGAGGTGTCACTTGGGTGAACTCACCCTTTTATCAAGATCTCCGTTATGACGTCTAATCGGAGCCCCATAGACACAGCGCCCAGGGCCGTTCATCTCGCAATTAGCATGTTCGGCTGTTTCTAGGATCCCCAGTGCTCTCGGGTGCAGGGTCAGAGACCCCTCCGCCTCAGGCTGAGCCGTCACCATAGCACACACTCAGCTCACACATGCTCACATTCACACACGTGCACACACTCAGCTCACACATGCTCCCATTCACACACACGTGCAC